TTTGTTATTCCCGTCGTCGGAGACATATGAAGTCTATACTTAAGCTTTTCGAGGACCTTCTGAGGCAGTTGCTGACCTTCTCTAGGATGCGACCCACAACAGGTGAGTAATTCCCAGATACCTATTTCACCACTAGGTGAAGTTGTCTACAGGTGAAAGGAGACTTGCCCATATGCAGAGACTTGCTCATCAGCATCTGTCCTGTGCGGCAACCCGTTCTCGCACTTTCGTATAGTCAATATTGACTTAGTAAATAAGTGCATATGTGACATACTAATTTATTGTGAATATTTTAGTTTACCTTGAAAAGCTTCATAGAAAACACCGACCTTACCTAACCTTCTTAGTATGTTAAGATAAGCATTTTATTGCTTCGTAATTACAATTATTACTTAAACTATACCTATAATAGGTAATTACAATTATTACTTAACCTATACCTATAATAGGTAATTACAATTATTACTTAACCTATACCTATAATAGGTTAAGTAATAATTGTAATTACAAAGCAATAAGATGCTTATCTTAACATACTAAGAAGGTTAGGTAAGGTCGGTGTTTTCTATGAAGCTTTTCAAGGTAAACTAAAATATTCACAATAAATTAGTATGTCACATATGCACTTATTTAATAAGTCAATATTGACTATACGAAAGTGCGAGAACGGGTTGCGTGCGGAGACTGAACCTGGGTACCTAGGCGTGTATTTTCGTCAATGAGCGTGTGTGTAGTTTGCTTCTATGTAATAAGTCCAAAGATGGTACTCGTGGGTTTATAGTTAATCACGACCAATTCCCACAGGCGCGTCAAACCGTAAGAACAGGAAGTCCCAAGAAGTGGTGGCCTCGGATATATGTAAACATAATTCATTGTGTAAAACTTTAACTTTTCTATTAATTTAAAATCATTAGGGAGAGATATTGCGTATATTTTAGACACACATTTCAACAAGACAGGTTGTCTTTTACTAGAGTAGACGTCAACCGTAAGGATAAATTAATGCAGTTTAGCGGATTTTGTATAACATTATTTTATCCAGAGAAAATCAGTAGAAGAAAATCCTCCTCAGGAACTCTAGAGGATGCAGTTGAGTCGCAGATTATAACGCTTTACCATGTGTGGTGTAGTATGGTCTAGAGCGTTGACTGGGTATAGGGGATTCGAACCCAGCGCATAGGTTCGAATCCTCCTCACGTCTACTAATTTTCTCATTGATACTTCACGTTAATGTGATCTCTTTGTGCATTCGTTTATCTTGCTCTGAAGCTCCGTTCTCTAGAAGTAGGAATTTACAGAAAACGCACCAGCGTTTTGTATTGATCCGTATCTGCTGTGTTTTGCTTCTTGGTAAGATTATCATTTATAAATCATTTTTGTCCAGGAAAAAATATATATATATAATATCAATTACATTATAGGAATTATATATGAACGTTAGGCTTATATTGAGGTCCCCAAGGTGGAACTACTGACCCTCCCCAGGATGCAACCCCACAATAGTTGCCTAACTCCCGGGTACCTATGTACTGCTAGGTGAACAGGATCATTAGGTTATAGGAAACGGGCTCAGTCATTTCTCTCCCGCCTGGGATTCGAATGTTCTATTGTACTCGATGACGTGTGTCAATATTCATTATGGATCTAATTGAACTAAAAAACATTGACAAATGTCACATATTTGGTTACTTAAGTGTAGTTATAGGATGAGAGCGAGACTCGTGGTGCCCCGTCTTCCCAGTATGAACAACTGACCTTCCTCTTGCTGCGAGCCACAACAGTCGACCAGCTCCTGGGGCCAGGGTTTACTGCAGGCTGACTAAAGACATCAGAGGTAAAGAAACGTGCCCGAACTTCTTGCCCCTGCCCGAGAATCGAACCCGGGACCAATCGGTTGTGTGCTAGCTGCTGCACTATAATGATTTATAACTTGCCGATTGTATATGTACTGTATTTGCCGGGTGTAAATGAGAAAATATTGTTGAGAAATACTCAATAACTTCATCGATAATCATTACTGATTTGTTGTAAGAATTATGAGATACTCTGCTTGTACACGAAGGTATCCGCTTAATTACGCCAGTAACTGTTTATACATGTAACTACTGCAGCTCAACAAGCCACTATATAGGATACAAAACGGGATATGCTTTTTCACACATCTTTAGCTACAGTTAAGAGGGAATGTGTTTCTTTTGTTTGTATGAGGTTGGAAGCCAGACGCTTGGGGCTAGCTTCACCCTTTTCAGGATGAACGGTCTGGAGTATGGGACAGACATATGCTGGTCGGAGTCGGTCCTATTGGTCTTTTTAACAAGAAGTCGGGCTAAATAGTGACCCCCCCCCCCCTCCGAATTGATGAAAGGTGGCTAGCCAAGTCCCTAGATTTCTTATTTTTTCTGTGTGTGTGTGTGTGTGTGTGTGTGCACTCCAGTTGCAAACTCTGTGAGCAGGAACTACGGCACGATCTCCCGCACTACATCACTGAATGCCCAGTTATTAGACCTCTCAGACCAGTTGGCATGAGGTACCTGGAGCTCTGCAATTACTTTATTCACTCTCGTATTCTTGAAGATATCCTCACAGTGTACCCAAAATTTGCCAGTGCTGGCTACTAAACATATGGCCTTGTATGACTAACCATCCTGCGAGATGGGGACTTGTATTACCACTGCTACCTTATTCAATCTTGTGTTGATGATATCCTCAAAATGCATCCGGAGTCTGCCAGTGCAGACTGCCTATCACATGCCTCTGTATAACTAACCATTCTGTGTGATGGGGATTTTTTAGCATCACCTAGTTAGCTTTTTTGACACACTGTACTTCATATAGTCTAGGGTAGCTGCACTAATGCAGATGTACCTCATGTATTAATAAAAATAATGTGTGTGTGTGTGTGTGAGAGAGAGAGAGAGAGAGAGAGAGAGAGAGAGAGAGAGAGAGAGAGAGAGAGAGAGAGAGAGAGAGAGAGAGGAGTAGCCAGTTATACACGCAGGTGACCAATTATATAGGCAGGGGATTAGTTATACACACCGCTGATTGTAACACATGTTCACGAATCTCTCAGTCCAAATTATTCAGCGATGAATATTTGCACACTTTGTCTATCAGTTGCTGCCTCACAGGGAACACGAGCTTCCTTTCAATCACTCCTCTGAAAGGTGCACTATTTTCTCTTGAGTGACCGTTCTTGTGCATCGCTGAGAACTGTTTGTGTTGCTGCTACCGATGCCTGGCTTACTTCACATCCTCCTACGGTTGGAGATCAACCATCTTCGCCGGTTCCAGCCCTCATCTCGCCGGCTTCATCCTTCATCTCGTCGCGATTTAACATAAATATTAAACTTCCTCTCTCACTTAAATTGAAAGTTGATGTGTCACTGTAGTTGCAGATGGGTAAGTAGAGTCCAGCGCTTCACCAAGACGAACACAGATCTTATCAATCACTAGTAACACTAAAAACCACAAGGAGAATGACCATGGGCTGTACTCACCATGGCTCCTGTCTTCTTGGTGTCTATGGGCTACAGAGGCGCAGCCCCACCTGTGACCCCTTGCTTTATACCCGCGTCCACCGCCCCCCCCCCTCCCCTCCACCCACACTCCCCTCATACCCCCCATGATTCCTCCCTCATCCCCCTCATCTTCCCTCGTGGCGCCAGCCATCAACCAGCCCGGAGGGGCGTGATGGGTGAGGGGAAGGATGGAGGGCGGGAGTGTGGGGAATGTGACCTATTTGGAGCGCTACCGGGAAAGCATATGGGAGAGGGAGGGGGGAAACGCTGGGAGGGAGAGAAGAGAAAACTACTGAGAAAGAAATGAGTGGATGCGTGAAGGTGTGTGAGGGTGAGAGCAGCAGTCAGTAACCTGTGGACACTACTGGGTGGAGTACGGGGCACCCGCTGGTCACCACAGTCAGTCACCACCATGGTCCCCGCCTGGAGACCACGCCCTGAGCCTCACCAGCCGCTGTTGACCAAGACATCTCCCCATTTCGGGGGAGTTACATACAAGATGGTGAAATATTGAGAATAATAAATATACTTAAGAAGGGTGCGTATATGAATTGAGTTAAGATGGAGGGTGTGGAGTAGGTCTGGATGTTTGGCCAAGATGGAGAACATTTCTTCCTTCTCGAGTCCTTCACTCGACATTCTTCAGCACAAGTTTACATATAATTGTTCGTTTCATGGAGGACAAAATTACAAAATAACCGTTGTTAACAACGTTTGCTTGAAATGAAATGAAACGTTGTTAACAACGTTTGCTTGCTTGCAATTTCAAGCAGTGCTTGAAATTGCCTGCTTTCATTGCCGAGCAATGAAAGCAGGCAATGAAGCACTGCTAATTTAACTAGTATACTTGTGTTGTGCTTCATGCTTGTTGTAACTGTACCAGGATCAAGACTGACGGCTCAGAGAGCGAGTATTATGACGTCTCCAGATCTTACCTACACTCAGCAAATGGGTCATATCGACTCTTGAAATAAGCAAATCAGCCGCTTTGAACGAAGCTTTTCATGGAGTGCATCTTATAACTGCTGTGTGCTGGTTACAGATGTTTATCGCAAATGAAACAAGCAAATTAGATCAGTAAATGGACAAATAATAGAGTAATGCAACCTGCATGTTTGTCATAGGTTGAAAAATCAGATTATTGCAACATAATGTGGGACTGAGCCCCCAACACACACACACACACACTGGCCCGCCAGGAAGTACACCTGGGTTAATTACGTACACGTATGGTGGCCCAGATGCCTCGCCCCGCCAACTAACACACGCCTCTCCACACCCACAAGTCTTGCCAGCTGTGACATCCAGCAACCAGCCAAAATATACGCCACTTGGCAAACATATGAAAAAAGCCCGAAATAGAAGACATAATTGCTTGGTTCGCTCCCCAGCTGAAGGTATGTGTACCAGGAGCAACACCGCCCGCTCGTAAATGCACAAGGAGCTAACTTTCCAGGCACATCTTACTTAGTGGTGTTGTCTTCATGAAAATTGGAAGGGATATATATGCTGGAAGGGTCTGAGGTCTTGTTGACCTACTGGAAACATCTGGAAGGGTCTGAGGTCTTGTTGACCTACTGGAAACATCTGGAAGGGTCTGAGGTCTTGTTGACCTACTGGAAACATCTGGAAGGGTCTGAGGTCTTGTTGACCTACTGGAAACATCTGGAAGGGTCTGAGGTCTTGTTGACCTACTGGAAACATCTGGAAGGGTCTGAGGTCTTGTTGACCTACTGGAAACATCTGGAAGGGTCTGAGGTCTTGTTGACCTACTGGAAACATCTGAAAGGGTCTGAGGTCTTGTTGACCTACTGGAAACATCTGGAAGGGTCTGAGGTCTTGTTGACCTACTGGAAACATCTGGAAGGGTCTGAGGTCTTGTTGACCTACTGGAAACATCTGGAAGGGTCTGAGGTCTTGTTGACCTATCTTGAGGTTATCTTGAGATGATTTCGGGGCTTTTTAGTGTCCCCGCGGCCCGGTCCTCGACCAGGCCTCCACCCCCAGGAAGCAGCCCGTGACAGCTGACTAACACCCAGGTACCTATTTTACTGCTAGGTAACAGGGGCATAGGGTGAAAGAAACTCTGCCCATTGTTTCTCGCCGGCGCCTGGGATCGAACCCAGGACCACAGGATCATAAGTCCAGTGTGATGTCCGCTCGGCCGACCGGCTCATCTACTAGAAGGATGGTTTCCTACTGGAAACATCTGGAAGGGTCTGAGGTCTTGTTAACTTACTGGAAAGATCTGGAAGGGTCTGAGGTCTTGTTGACCTACTGGAAACATCAGGACGGGTCTGAGGTCTTGTTGACCTACTGGAAACATCTGGAAGGGTCTGAGGTCTTGTTGACCTACTGGAAACATCTGGAAGGGTCTGAGGTCTTGTTGACCTACTGGAAACATCTGGAAGGGTCTGAGGTCTTGTTGACCTACTGGAAACATCTGGAAGGGTCTGAGGTCTTGTTAACCTACTGGAAACTGGAAACTTGTACATTTCTCTTACTGACAGCCAACCCTCTCCCACTCCTGTCTGACAGTTACACCTGTCCCTTGCATTTAACTCGGAAAATTGCATTCTGGTCACTGCTCTTATTCGTATTTGCATAACATTTGCCTGGAGGTGAGGCAGGCGGCGACCACGACTCACTGCGGCCTCCTCGGGGTAACCCGCAACATAAACATAAAGTGTTGTACCCCAAAAGAAGATCTCGTTTTGCATAAGGAATTTCTTAATGGCAGAAAGCTGACCTTATTTCTCATAGGCCTAAATAAGCAATCCTAAACCTAACATTTTCTGTTGGGTTTATGTAATCTTAGGCCTAATTTAGTGAATAAATAAATAAATAAATAAATATATATATATATATATAATTTTTTTTCACTAAATTAGGCCTAAGATTACATAGTCAGAAGAGATGCAGTGCTTTGTGCCGTACATCGCCATTTCCGGCCCCTCTACCCGTTCATACTATCGTGCTACAGTGGTGAGTCAAAACTGCTCTTTGGTGAACACGAAATCAGATCATGTAAAGGTGTTCAGTAAGGTGATTCTCTAGCTCCTCTTCTTTTCTGTTTAGTCTTAAAACAAATCACTGAAAGCTTGTTCAGCGAGTTCAACATCTGGTTTTTGGATGATGGCACTATAGCTGGCACCGTAGACCATCTCTTGGCAGATATTAGGAAAATAAGGGAGCAAGAAGTAAGCCTGGGTCTCTTCCTGAACCCTTCCAAGTGTGTAGTAGTCTCCTCCAACCCAGACATCGTAGCTAGAATAAGGTCTGCCTTGCCTGGAGCCCATGTCATTAGGGCCGAGAACAGCATTCTCCTTGGCGCCCCCCTTGGGTCATTGAGAAGATCCTTGATAAGAAAATCACAGACCTCAACAGGATGGAAAAAAGGATAGTTGACATCGATCCCCACGACCCTCTTTAATTATCTCCTCACTAAATGCCTATCCCTTCCTAGGCTAACCTACTTTCTGAGGTGCGCCCATCCTACAACAGCCCAAAGCTCGAAGAGTATGATCAATTACTGAAGACCATGCCAGAAAAAGTTGTCACCTTTTTCCTTAATGAATGACAGTGGAAACAAGCCACTCTCCCTGTCAGGTTCGGCGGCTTGGGTGTCCGCACCGCCATCCAAATAGCTGTCTCATTCTTCCTGTCTTCCTTCTCAGCATCAGATGACCTGGTTAAGGAAATTCTACCTATCAACCTGTGTGACTTTGCAGGGTTACGGGACTCCCACTACATGGAATGCGACACAAAATGGGGTACCATGGCAGACCCAGCACTCAGACCAGCCATGCCGAAAGCCAAGAAACAATCCAGCTGAGACAGTCCCATTGTAGACAAAGAAGCCACAGCTTTGCTGGATGTAGAAACAACCCCCAGTGATCGTGCACGCCTCACAGCTGTGCAGGCTCCCCATGCAGGGGACTTCCTTTAGCAAGTCCCTATGTCTGCGACAGGCACACGTCTTGATCCGCAGGAGCTCCGTATTGCAGTTGCTCTCCGCCTTGCTGACCCTATCCACACTGTTCATGAGGGTATTTGCGGCGAGGCAGATGCAGACGAATATGGATGGCATGGCCTGCACTGTGGAAAATCAGGCGGTTGGCACTCTAGACACGACGAAGTCAATGAGATCATTAAGAGGAGCCTTGAATCTGCCCAATGTCCAGCGGAGAGAGAGCCCCGCAATCTATTGAACCATAACTCTGCTAGCTATGCCGGCCGACCAGACGGAATCACACTGTACCCTTGGAAGGGTGGCAGACAATTGCCGTTGGACTATACTTGTGTATCCACCCTGGCCACCACATACGTCAACCTCTCTGACGGCCAAGCAGGAGCCACATCGACACGTAGAGAAAGATACAAGTCGACCAAGTACAGGGAATTAGAATCGCCAGTACAACTTCGTTCCAATAGGATCTGAGATCCTAGGTCCAAAGGGAGAGAGTGGAAGAAAGATTTCATAAGGATCTTGGTTCCAGGCTCATTGACACTACCAGAGACCCTAGAGCGGCAAGTTTTCTCTTCCAGCGCCTCAGTGTCGCGATCCAGAGGGGAAATGCCTGCTGCATCCTCGGTTCCTGCCCGGCGTCGGAGGAGTTCGAAGAAATCTACAACCTCTAGAAAACATACTTCCCCTTATTTCCTCTTAATGTTCATTTTTTGTAAACAATCTGATATATATATATATATATATATATATATATATATATATATATATATATATATATATATATATATATATATATATATATATATATATATATGCGAACAAGCCTGAATGGTCCCCAGGACAATATGCAACTGAAAACTCACACCCCAGAAGTGACTCGAACCCATACTCCCAGGAGCCACGCAACTGGTATGTACAAGACGCCTTAATCCACTTGACCATCACGACCGGACATAATGAGGTGATAGCCGGGGCTATTTGAACCACCCCACCGCCGGCACTCGGATAGTAATCTTGGGCATAGCATTTTACCAAATCACCTCATTCTTTGGGGCACACGTGAGGAACACAAATGCGAACAAGCCTGAATGGTCCCCAGGACAATATGCAACTGAAAACTCACACCCCAGAAGTGACTCGAACCCATACTCCCAGGAGCCACGCAACTGGTATGTACAAGACGCCTTAATCCACTTGACCATCACGACCGGACATAATGAGGTGATAGCCGAGGCTATTTGAACCACCCCACCGCCGGCACTCGGATAGTAATCTTGGGCATAGCATTTTACCAAATCGCCTCATTCTTTGGGGCACACGTGAGGAACACAAATGCGAACAAGCCTGAATGGTCCCCAGGACAATATGCAACTGAAAACTCACACCCCAGAAGTGACTCGAACCCATACTCCCAGGAGCCACGCAACTGGTATGTACAAGACGCCTTAATCCACTTGACCATCATGACCGGACATAATGAGGTGATAGCCGAGGCTATTTGAACCACCCCACCGCCGGCACTCGGATAGTAATCTTGGGCATTATGTCCGGTCGTGATGGTCAAGTGGATTAAGGCGTCTTGTACATACCAGTTGCGTGGCTCCTGGGAGTATGGGTTCGAGTCACTTCTGGGGTGTGAGTTTTCAGTTATATATATATATATATATATATATATATATATATATATATATATATATATATATATATATATATATATATAGTATAACTAAGAAGATTTGGTTTTGTTTCTTACATTCTCGGGCCCACAACAAAATTCAAAGTACACACCACTGGCGACTTGTGGCTGGAGCCGTCCATATCTCAGTATGCGTGCCTTAATGTTTGGATGAAAGGTCAAGTATACAATTCATTAAGTGTAAGGTTAGGCTGTCGTCTCCAATTCAATTTCTTTCTTTATCATGCACCCTATACCCATCCCGTGGGCGGTGGTGGTGGAAAGAGTTACAGAGGCACATTAATGGGTTCAGGAACTGAACCCCATAGTTCATTTAGCTAAGCAAGTGACAATCTTTTGAAGCTAGTTACACAATTGTTAATGTTATATATATATATATATATATATATATATATATATATATATATATATATATATATATATATATATATATATATATATATATATATATATATAACTGAAAACTCACACCCCAGAAGTGACTCGAACCCATACTGCCAGGAGCAACGCAACTGGTATGTACAGGGACGCCTTAATCCGCTTGACCATCACGACCGGACATAAGGAAGTGATAGCCGAAGCTATTTGAACCACTTCCCTGCCGGCACTCGGATGGTAATCTTGGGCATAGCATTTTATCAAATCACCTCATTCTTTGGGGCACACGTGAGGAACACAAATGCAAACAAGCCTGAATGGTCCCCAGGACTATATACAACTGAAAACTCACACCCCAGAAGTGACTCGAACCCATACTGCCATAAGCAACGCAACTGGTATGTACAGGGAAAACAACTGAGTTTTCAGTTGTATATAGTCCTGGGGACCATTCAGGCTTGTTTGCATTTGTGTTCCTCACGTGTGCCCCAAAGAATGAGGTGATTTGATAAAATGCTATGCCCAAGATTACCATCCGAGTGCCGGCGGGGAAGTGGTTCAAATAGCTTCGGCTATCACTTCCTTATGTCCGGTCGTGATGGTCAAGCGGATTAAGGCGTCCCTGTACATACCAGTTGCGTTGCTCCTGGCAGTATGGGTTCGAGTCACTTCTGGGGTGTGAGTTTTCAGTTGTATATAGTCCTGGGGACCATTCAGGCTTGTTTGCATTTGTGTTCCTCACGTGTGCCCCAAAGAATGAGGTGATTTGATAAAATGCTATGCCCAAGATTACCATCCGAGTGCCGGCGGGGAAGTGGTTCAAATAGCTTCGGCTATCACTTCCTTATGTCCGGT